ACCCCTAGTTCTTCCTGGGGAATGGTGCCAGTTGTGTTCCTCCCATCTTCCCTTCTCCCTTCCTGACATGTCTTGCTCACTGCACATATTTTGGCCCCTGCACTGTGCTTTCTTGCTGACTTCCCTACAGGGGCATTATTTTCTGCCCAGGTTTTTTCCTCTTAGTCTTTCCTCACTCCAGAATCACTTTTCTTTTTCACCTCTACTGCTGTCTTTTTTGTTTTTTGTTATAGAAAAGCAATTTATTCCATTATAAGCACTTACATAGTTACTCATGAAGAGTAACAGGTCTGCTAATGAAACAGGTCACCTAAAATGGAGATGATATCAAACTAGTGGTCAAGGACTAACTTCTAAAAAAAAAAGAAAAAGCAACTGTTATCAAGGTTTAATTTAATTTTAAAGACACATATAAGCTATCAAATCAACCTTCCCAACTTGACAGTATACCTGAGGTACATATGTCAGGTAAAAACATACATCTTTACAACTTGGTGGTCCTATGTTAAAACAACAACAAAAAAGAGCAAAAACTATTTCACAGAAAGGAAAGGAATAATATGGAAACAGATCAAGAAATACACTAACAAGCAAAAATGTATAGGGAAGAAGGAATGTATAGCTTTGATTTAACTGAGTAAACCAAGAGGAGACTGGTCTACATAGGAAAAATGTCCATCCTGGAAAGTCAGGTATGAAAATTTAGAGTAGGAATCTATGACTTGATTTTCCCCTAATTCCTGAATAAAAATGACATCTTGCAGTACTCATACTTCATGGCTCAGACACCTAACCTCACTTGGCTCTATTCCTTACTCAACTTTAGCTTTTACTGAAGCAAGTCTGAAAAACTTGGGGACGTATCTTAAGAAGAAAAATAATTACACATTATATTTCCCTTTCTGTAGCTACTTTAAACCTGGGTTAATAGAAAATTCTTGAAGAAAATTTAAATAAAAGTCTATGGCTTTGCTGAATCAAGTACCCTAGTTAATATTTAGAAAACACCCACTTTTGGGACCAATAGTATTATTGGAGGGACAGCTGAACAAAGTCTGTATGCCTCAAAACCAGTGTTCAATCAAAAAACACCCACTTTTGGGACCAATAGTATTATTGGAGGGACAGCTGAACAAAGTCTATATGCCTCAAAACCAGTGTTCAATCAATCTCAGGGTTGAGAGGAGAAAATGGGAATCTAAAATCATGAGTGCAGATATATCTAGCATCCTTGTCCTTCTGGATCCACACTTCCTTCAGGGTCTTCATCATTATAAATGTTCTCTGCCATCTGCCACACTTGCATGATATTGTCTTCTGATACAGAACAAATCACCCAAGGTTCATTGGGATTCCAGGAAAAATCAGATATCTTAGCAGTGTGACCACCATGAATAAACAACAACTCAGGTGGGCCATCTTCTGCATCTTCTGGAGATTGCAATTCTCCAATTTTACTTAAATCCCAAACATTCAATCTGTGATCAGTACCACTGGAAGCCAGAATAGTCTCATTATGAGGTGACCACTGAACCTGGAATATCTCATCTTTATGTGATTCAAAGGAATGTATCTTAAGTTTCAGATTCCTTAGATCCCACAAAGCAACAGTCTTGTCAGCTGATCCTGTCGAAAGAATAAATTCACTATAAGGATTGAAAGAGAGGCAGTTCACTCTAGCAGTGTGAGCATCAACTGAGTGGCTTGGTTTGGAAGTATTGTTTGACCGAGTATCCCAAATCATAAGTTTCTGGTCATCAGCAACTGACCCAAACAGAGACTCATGGAGCAGATGCCAGGAAACATCTTCTACTACTGCAGTATGGCCTGTAAAGATGGCCTTTGCATCCACCACCTTTCCTTCCTTTGGAACAGCACTGATGTCCCATAGGCAGATGGTATGGTCATCTGAAGCACTAACTAAATGCCCACTGAGATTTAGGTTCCAAGAAAGCCCACAGCCTTCCTTCTGATGTCCATGGAGATGCAAGTCTGGGTTGCACTCTCCAGGGGAGTCTGGTTTAGAAGGATGCTTTGTATAGTCAAAAGCAAGGACATCACTGGATGGAGTCTTTGTCGCAATGATGCAAGGGTTTGGGGGCATATAACGGGCCCTGTTTACTTCTCCTGTATGGTTGATCTTGATTTCTATTTCGATTTTCCCACTAACTGAACCAAACCCTCCAAATTCTCCTTGCTCACTGTCATAGTGTGATGCATCAAACTGGGCATTGTTGTTAGGGAGCTGCACACTGGCTATCACAAGGTAGTTTTGTTCATCTGATGTGTGTGTGCCCAGGACAAGTCGATGAATGCTGAAATCTTTCCCTTCTGGTCTGGTTACATCTGGAAGCCACTGTGAAGTCAGGCTGGGCCACTCTAGAGCATGGGGCATCACCAAATACTAAAGAAAAGGAATGTTCTTTTCCATATTTTGTACTCCTTGTTGATCACACTTTCTTCCACTGCGTTGTCAGAAGCTGCTTCCTTGTCAGCCGTGGCGGCAGGAGCTCCAGGAGGACCCTGAGGCCGAACGAAGTGGGAGGGGCAGAGTGGCTGTGGGCACTCCCTCTGCGTGGGCAGCCTCTTTTGTTTCCTGTGGTGCCCTTCTGTCTTGTCTTTCAGTCTTTCTTGAAACCTTTCAAAACCACCTCACCTGTCAGCTCCTGAGATGCTTCCCTCACACCACCCTGATGAGTCACCTCCTCTCCTGCCAGCAGAA